AAAACCCAAATTAACTTTTTTTAGTGGCCTGGAACGGGCTATTCCAAACTTGGAACGGGTCGTTCCCAAGTCCGGAACGGGCTGTTCTCGAATTAGAACGGGCCATTCCGAGGCTTCTCAATGGCCTAAAAATTGTTAGCTGGAACGGGCCGTTCTAGACCAGAACGGGCCGTTCCAAACTAAACAAATGGCCTAAAATCTGTACCCCGGAACGGCCATTCTGAAATCAGAATGGGCCGTTCTAGGGTACAAATATACAGCATAACGTTCGGATCCGGAACGGGCTGTTCTGAATCCAGAACGAGCCATTCCAGCCCACATCTGATGCCTATAAATAGAAAATCTCGGCCAAGAGTTTGGGGACCCCGAAAATTTTGTCCAGCACTCTCTAGAGCTCGAAACTTCTCTCTTTTTCTCTCTCTCTCTCCTATTGTATTTCTTGAGTATTGTGAGGCATTTGTGTAGTGTTAAAGGTTGCCATAAAGTACCTACAATTTCCATATTGAAAGATCTAACAAAGCTTGCAACGAGGTATTTTAATCAATCTTCTTCTCTCTCTTTTATTTCTTATATTTGATAAATATTGTTTATAATAAGAGCAATCATGTAGATATTCTAGAGTCAATTATTTAATTTAAATTTTAAATCGTGTAAATAATCATCAATAAAAAGGGATCTAATATTTAAAGAAATTATTTCTTGTCGCATTAACTTCATCATAGGGTATCGATTTAGGGCGTTGTAGGGGTTCTTAATACCTTCCCTACATGTAACCGACCCCCGAACCCAATTCTGGTTATCAAGGCCATTATTGGATCTTTTAAAAATCTTTTTTTTTCCAATGTTTTGAGTAAAACATTGGTGGCGACTCCATAAAACCTATTTTCAAAACCATTGATTAAGGATTAGTCTAGTGTCCGGGCATTCCTTAATTAATGAGACTTTTAAAATGATGTCAAAACCATTAGTCGCGAGATCGAAAATTTTCGGGTTGCGACAGAGAATAAGCTACAACTCTTTTGAAGACATGAGATTCTAAAAAGATCCTCTTCTTAGCTAAAAATTTAAATAAAAAAAAAACACAACAGATATATTCAGCGCTTACAGCTAGACCTTTGATTACCAAAGCAGCTATAACTGGAGTTCTAGACCTTCGTTTTACTTTATTCTAGTTCCATTGGAAGGATAACGTCCAAGGCTATAACTTTCATGAAGACCACAAAAATCTAATTCTGTCAATATAGCACTTGTATTGGCACAACAAAATTTTAGTGCATACATCCCCTACACCAAACAACAATAGTGTATCAACATCTAAGCCCACAAAAATACCTCAATCCTTCCAAACTCACTCTTGTAACACCCCAGTTTTTATTTCATTTTTATTTTATTTTATTGAGGGTATTTTGGTAATTTTCATAAATGTATAAGAGTGATTTAGTAGCTTGGAACGGGATGTTCTGGAATTGGAACGGGTCGTTCCAAACTACCAAAATAAATGTGAGTTAGTAGCCCAGAACGAGTCATTCTCAAGTTGGAGTGGGCCGTTCTGGACTATTAAAACTGCCTATAACCCTAAATAGGAACGGGCTTGGAACGGGCCGTTTCCAAAATATGGCCGTTGTGACTAATAAATGCACACCAGAACGGGCTGTTCTGGTTTGAGAACGAGCTGTTCTGGATGTGATTTTTACCCATGATTTAAGGGTCCAGAACGGATTGTTCTGGATTTGGAACAGGCCGTTTCGGTGAAGCTTGATGCCTATAAATTGAGCTCTCTGCCACTCCCAAAAGACACACCTCTCATTTTCTGATTTCTTTTTTTCTGCTCTCTCTTCTTTCCCTCTACTTTCTGCTTCAGATCGAGGGGAACCTAGTGAGGGAGACCAACCAGATCTTGTGTAGGTTCAGCTTCTACATATCAAGGTACGGGGGAGAAGGGAATTATTTATGTGTAGAGTTACATGAGAAAATTAGGAAGAGGAGGAATCCCGTAGGATTAATGGTAATTTTATAATTATTTCTGTTTAAGAAATTGATGATCCCATTAGACTGTATATGTATTGAGGATTAGAAATATGCTAATAATTTGTAAGAATGATGATCTTGGAGAGAGAACAAAATTGTAGAAAAGTTCCTATGAGCTAGGTTTTGGAAGAATTGGGGGTTTTACTGTTTATGTTAAAATTATATTAAATTGATAATTCCATTGATTATTATATTAATTTATGAATGTTATTGTTATATTACTTGATAAAAATTGATGATTTAGATGTGAATTGCTTGAGGTGTATGAAACCCATTATTTTGGACTTATCTGATGTGTGTATGGAATTGAGCTATGAGATGAGATGTTGTATGGATGTGAATATGATTATGATTGTGGTTCCTCACACTAATGACCAGGGATGGAACGACCCCTAAGTAAGTGATGCTATAGGGAGGGCATGACCCTAGCATGGTGTGGGATGAGTAAGACAGTTAAAACGTATCACTTATGTCAAATATGGCAGCCATGGCATAGGGTTAATTGTAAGAGATTGTGTGGATTGTGATGTGATTGTGGTTCCTCACATCAATGACGAGGGATGGCACGACCCCTGGGTAAGTGATGCTACAGGGAGGGCGTGACCTTGGCATGGTGTGGGATGAGTGAGACAATTAACCCGTATCACTTATGTCAGTTGTAGCGTGGCCTTGGCATAGTGTTAATTCTAAGATTTGTGTGAATTATGAATATGAAAATGATAACGTTGATTGCAAGATTTGAGATGAATGGGTGCGAATTATGATGTGAAAATGATGCATGATTGATAGAGTTATGATATATAGAAATGCTTGTAAATATTTCATTATGTAATGAGATTACATTGCTGTGTGTTTGTATGTGCTTTACATATAGATGTTTTCTTTTCTTACCGTACAAATTATGGATGTTTTAGGTGAGGAAGATTCGACTACGAGTGGCATCTAGAATGCCAACAGTTGAATTGTGGGTATGCTCTGATATTATGACATCCAGGCAAAGGATTTTTAGGACATAGATTTTATATGGATTTGGAATTGTAAATATTATTTTTGAAAAAAATTTGTAAACTCTTGTGTTTCATTTTCTAAATTTTTTTTATTATTGTGGTTATTAAAGAACAATTTTGAAGATTCTCATGTGAACCCTGTTACCGAAATTGAAAAATTTATTTGTAAGTTTTCATTATTACAATATATGTTTTGGGGTAGTAAGGATGTCACATTTAGTGGTATCAAAGAAGGTCGATCCAATCGGCCGTGAGTTATGAGTCTACTATGCTTGTTTGGTAGATGAATGATGTAATGAATTGATTGTTGAACTTATTGATATGCTAGTATGACAATTGAATAATTTTGTTGTTTATTTTTAATTAGAGTATAATTGTTAACTTTTCTGGGGATCAAGAAAAGTAATGGCAAGAGGTAGGAACGATTGTGCAATTGCTGATGCTCTACAAGTGATGGCTCAGGTTCTTGGTAATTTGAACCAACAACTAGAGATAGATTGGTTGGAGAGATTCCAGCGAAATAATCCACCTAGCTTCCGTGGGGGTTATAATCCTGATGGAGCTGCTGACTGGATATTCGAAGTTGAAAAGATATTCCAAGCTATGGGATGTCCTTTGGTACAGAAGGTGACTTTGGCTGCCTTCATGCTTTCTGGAGAGGCTGGCATCTGGTGGCAAGGTGATTTGCAAAGAATGATAGCTGCAAGTACCCAAGTGAACTGGGAGAATTTCAAGCGGTTATTCTTGAAGAAATACTTTCCGCAAGATGTGAGACATAAGAAACAGGTGGTATTCCTTGAGTTGAAGCAAGGAGAAGATTTTGTGGCTGAGTATGTGACTAAGTTTGAAGAATTGGTCAGATATTTATGATGGTGTGGGCAATGAGGATGACAAATGTGTGAAGTTTGTGAGTGGACTAGATATTATTTTAATGAGAGGATTGGAAACAGTTTTTAAAACTACAAGGAGTTATTTAACCTTTGCCATACAAGTGCAAGAAATGTAATTGAAAGATCATTTGGAATATATATATATATATATATTAATACAAACTTTGAAATTTATGATTTTTATATCACAAAAAAATAGAACGTACCTTTTATTTATATATATATATATATAATAAGAATTATTAATGCTTGTTTCATGCTACATAAATACATAAGAGGTGAACAACAAAGTAATCAAATTTTGGAAGCTCAAGACTTGGAATTTTTATCTATCATTGATCACATGTTAACCAATCAATAAATGGAAAGAGTTAGAAATAATAATACAAATGAAGTTACAACACTTCAAGCAACTGAGGAATGGAAAAGATTTCGTGAAACTTTAGCAATGACTATGTTTGTTAGTTATCAAGTTAGAAAAAACTTTGATTAGAGATTGTATTTTTAGTAGACTTTTGATTTTAGTTCGTTTTTATGTATGTGTGATACTTTAGAATTCAATGGACAAGATGTCATAAAACAATTGTAAATGTTGATATTTAAAATATTTATTTTATTTTATAAAGTCTCAAAATTGATATTAAGAGCTATTATAATAAATACCAAGGGGTTTGTTCATATTAGTAAAAATTAGTTAGAAATAATGTTTAAAAAATTCACTTTAAGTAAATTGAAAAAAAAATAATTTACAAAAAAATTTCTATTTATTTTTAATAGAATATTTTATAAATAAAAGGAATTTAGTTATTTAATTAAAAAATAAATTTTTAAAAAAATGAAGAAATTTAATTATCTTATCCAAACATAAAAATTTTAAAATAAAAATTTTAATTTTATTACCCAAACACAGTAATTTAAAAATAAAAAAATTCAATTGAAACGATTAAAATTCTTGAAATTTAAAATTCTCTACGATTCTAAAATCCTCAATCCAAAACACAACCTACCAATATTCTCAAAGATAACTTTGTCAAATGTATAGATGACTCCTTTCTGATTTTCTCAATTAAGTCTACTCTACCAGTATACACCTTTTTTTTATTACCTCATATTAATCCAGTAGGATCAGTGTTCCTGATTGAATTGCTTTTTCACCGTGAATTCTCTGGTATTCATTCCATACTTGAACCACTAATAAAGATAAACGCATCAATACTATTACTCCTTTGTAACTCAAGAATAATATACACTATGTAGCGTGAAAGTACTTCTCATTTGTTTTTTTCTTTTTACATTTTGAAATCTACATACTCAGTGATTCTTATACTCCTTTAGTCGACTATATAAACCGTAACTACATCAAGTGTTCTCATGAACTCTGAACTTCATTGATCGATAACACCTACGCATACCCACCAATCTTTCAAAACAATTATTTTACAACATGACTGACACACTGAGCCTAAAGTTTAGCCAACTAGAAAAAGCAAAGCAAATAGCAGAAAATTCAGTCCCAAAGATACAAAGGGTTGCACATTATCTCCGAGATCGAAAACATTTTGCCAAACACTACTCACCCAGGTTGGTGTCAATTGGTCCAATTCATCATGGTGAAGAGAACCTACAGCTGGGAGAAAAATACAAGCTCATGTGGGCAAAAAGGTACCTTGAACGCACCAAACAAGATGCAAAAGCTTTGTACCAAAAGATTGCATCAAACATAAAACAGCTGAAGGAACGGTTTGCTGAGGATGTCATTAAAGTTGTTCCTGATGATGAAAAGCTGTCGTGGATGCTGCTTGTGGATGGGTGTGCTCTTCTACAAATATTGGAAAAAGCAAAACTACATCATCCAGAAATGGAGGTTAAGGTTGACCAACTGGTTCTTTTGTCGCAGGATGTGCTCTTGTTAGAGAACCAACTTCCCTATGAAGTGCTTAAATTGCTATCAGGCCCCAACAATGAAGCCACGCTATTAAACAGCATGAAAGAGTTTTTCAAGTTTCATCATTTGTTACCAGGAGCCAAGAATAAGGACTCGGCCAAAGGAAAAACAAAGGATGAGGACAGGTACAAAGTTTACATGTATTTTTGTTCTTTCCTATAATACACTATATATTACTCTTAATTTCTATTTATCCTTTATAGTTAATTACTTTTAACTACGAAAACAATATTAAACCTACAAATGCTTGTTTTAATCAAAGCACATTTTTGCAAACAAGATTTAAATATATCGGTCAGTATATATGATTATGCTTTGAACATGTTATGGTTTTAGTAAATCTTCTGAAGGGCACACCCTGCCAGAACACACAGTAGAAATACCCTTGGAAGAAGAACCTATTCATCTGCTTGATCAGCTTCGCAGATCTATTATCCTTGATGTTGTCCCTCATAAAGAGGAACCAAGAGGCAAGAAGAAACAGGACCCCGACACAGTAACATACAGGAACATACAAGAGTTGAGAACAGCAGGGATTAAACTGAAGGCAAACAACTCAAAGAGTCTCAGAGACATCTCTTTCTCTTATCGCTGCCTGTGTCTGTGTGCCGTACTGAAGCTTCCTCAGATCACAGTTGATGACACAACAGCTCCTACTTTTCTCAACCTTATAGCATATGAGGTGTGTCCAGATTTTAAGAACAACTACGAGATTTGTTCCTTTGTGGCCTTCATGGACTCGCTTATTGACCACCCTGATGATGTTAAGGAGCTGAGAAAAGCAGGGGTTTTGCACAATGCCCTTGGGAGTGATGAGGAAGTGGCAAAGCTCTTCAACACCATAAGCACTGACTTGGTGCCTGACTCGAAGAGCTATTCCCATGTTAGAGCAAAAATTGAGAAGCATTATAGCAAAAAATGGAGGACATGGTTAGCTCTTGGTTACTATACATACTTTAGTAACCCTTGGGCAATCATTGCTTTCCATGCTGCTGTTTTTGCCCTTGTTCTCACTTTCCTCCAAACTTGGTTAACTGTTCACCCCCCTCATTCTAAAGACAAAACTTAGATGTCATCTTTAATTACATGTAACCACTAGAGTCATTCTTGAAAGATTGGATATTATGTATACATTTCTAGGTTTGAACCTTGTTGCTTTCATAATAATTATTACTGATAAAAAAACAGATTTTAGATGTTTTTGGACTTGTTTCTTAATCAGAATGAATTTGGAGTTGTCTTGCATAATAAAAGTTTGCTTTAGAAGTCAACCTTGAGTTTTTCAAAGTAAAACTGCAGTTGTTATATCTAAAGTGCTTTTATAAATTTTATCTATTTTCTTTCTTATATGGTCTTCTTTATTTTTAATTAAATATTACGTCCTTAAAATAATGTTCTTTTTCCTGACTGTTTTCTTGGTTGGAGCCTAAAGAGGAAATAAAGACAGGTGCCATTCAAGTCTATACACGTAGAGTGCTAGAGAATATATGTTTATGTTTTTGTGATTCAGTGTGCTATTGTACCTAAATAACTAATCAATCTATCAGCGTTGTGCACGATTCGAACTTGTAATCAGAAAAAGGTGAAATCCATACGTATAATGTGTAATAAAAAAAATTCTTTTACGGCAACCTCTGAGTTTCCCTTTCTCTACATAGTCTGTGTGCTGCTTTTGTTGGGTTTTGGCTCCCTTTCTACATGGAGAATATGTTTAAATTATATAAACCAATCATGTCTTACTTAATCAAGTAAAGAGAGGTTAGATTACAATAGAAAGAGTGACTCAATTTAAAAGAAAAAAGTAGCAAAATAGAAAGAGAAGAGAAGAGAGAAAGTTACAAGTCATATATCAACTAGGCAGCATTTGTTGAATTATAATTAGAGAATTGTTCACCGTTGGATCAGATTGATTTTTGGACAAAAATTTCATAAAATGTGAGATTTAACATTCAACGATTAAATTGTCAAAAGGAAGTTTAGAGTGAGAAATGCATCTTACACTAACATCTATTTTTTTGGAACTTTTCATCTTCCAATTTATCAATTGTAAGCTTCTTGCAGTAACATCACCTCTATTTTGGGACTTTTCATCTTCTTATTTCTCAATTGTAAGCAATTGTACTTGGTTTTCCTTTAGTTGACTGTAAGTATTGTTTGGTGTGTTCTTTAGAGACTCTTTTATACTATTTGTTGATCATAATGAAATTTTTCTTTGGTCTGAACAACTCGTAATTTTTTTCCTAGGTTTTCCATGTTAAAAATATTTGTGTCTAGTATGTGTTTGGGTTATCTATTTTGCTTTATTTAGCTGGCGCACTTTGCAAATTTTTGCAAGAAGTGAGATTTAATTTCTACTGCATTATTGTAGAGAAAAGATGAACACTAGAAGAGGGAGTTGAATAGTGTATATCAAAAGTTCACACTTTTTTTGCAATGAGATAGTGCTAATATAATGAAGTAAAAAAGAGTAGCTAAATGGAACACTTAGTATTTTTATAGTGGTTTACCTCAACAATTAAGACTACGTCCAATTCTCAATGCAACTAGATTAACCTTCATCATCTTTAAACAATGATACCAGTATTCTTTTACCAAGCCACTTTTAGCTCAACCTGAAATACTTTTTGACTTGCCTCTTCAAACAACTGTAAGTCCCAGTGTACTAGAATCTAGAAGGGGGTTGAATAGATTTTATCCTAAGATTGCTCTCTTTTACACAATTCTTGAATAATAACCTCTAAATAAATCTGAAATACAACCTTTATCCAATTTGAGTAACAAACAGTAGTAGATTACAAGGTTTATTACTAACATAGCAGAATATCAAAGTATGAGCAGCAAATCAATTACTTGTAATCAAGGTTGATTTTATATTACCTTCCTTTTACTCAAGTGCAATTACAAGAATTAAGATCAGAATTGGTGCTGTAATTGAAATTTTGTTTTTTCAAATCTTTAAAAAACCTTTAAATAAGAAATCAACAAGATTCTTTAAAGATAAGAGTAAGAAGATAAAGAACACAAAAATTTATACTGGTTCAACCATCCACTTGCCTTACATCCAGTTTTCCTTGATTTAGCACCCCACAAAATCAAAGATCATTCACTATAATATTGTTTACAAACACTTTGTACACACAATATTACATGAATTTCAAACAAGCATCAATCTTGACATCCCAAGATTGAATACAATCAAAATTTTTGTATCCCACAGAAATTACTTGAAAAACTCTTCTCAAGATTTCACCATCTCTTGTTGAGATACCCTATCTCATGAGATACAATAGGAAAAACAAAAATACAGATTCAAAGATCAAAGTAATATCACCTAGTTCTGTGAAGATGTTGATCTTTCACTCTTGAGTCCAGCTCTTGAATTTCTTCTTTCAAGAATTCATGTTCTTTCTTTGCACTTGTTGAACTTTTTCAGAAAGTTTCTTTTCTAACACTTAAATCTTGTTTATGAAAATATCACTTTTCTTAAGAGTTCAAAAGTTCTCTTGGGTCTCTTATTAAATTTTAAAAAGATTGATTTTATAGAGTGCAAGACGTGATTCAGTTATAAAGAGTAATAACAATAGTAATCTACTACCTGTGTAGATACTCTATTACCAACTCTTTTAATTGAACTAGAAACATGAAAATTGTCTAGGATAATCGATTATCCCAGGTAGTAATCGATTAACCTGAGCTTGAAAAGTCCCAGATTTGCATATCACTTTGTGGTAATCAATTATCTATATTGGTAATCGATTAACACGATGATAACTTCGTTTTGTTAGCCTAATTCCAAGCAAGAGACTCTATTTTAATCTATTACCAAATTTGGTAATTTGTTACCTTAGAGAGTACTTTGAAAATATGTTTAGTAACAAACTTGGTAATCTATTAACACAAAGGACATTTAAATATCCTTTTCCAGTAACAGGTTTGGTAATCTATTCCCTGAATGGTAATTTGATTAACAAAGTTACCTTGGAAACTCTTGTTTTGAATCAAGTAATATTTCTATGTTTAAACACTTGGTAGTATATTACCCTTTTCAAGATAATCTATTACTTCATGTTTACTCATGAAAATACTTAAAAAACAAATTCTTGGCTTTTTTAAAAGCTTGACAGATTCTTGAATTAAGCAATCATCATCAAACATAAACAAACACACACACAAGCCTATATCTATAACAGTCAATACAATATCCTTTTACATATAGGCTCAAACATCATTTATACAATATCACCAAAAATAAAACTTCTTGAGGAGTCTTCATGTTATCTCAATGATCTTCATCGTTTCAACAATCTCCCCCTTTTTGGTTTTGATGAGCCAAATCTCTAATGACATAAAAATGATGTCTTATGTTTTCTTGATGATCCACTTGCAATGCTTTTACAAAAAGAATCTTCCAAAAACAAGTTAAGTAATACATTGAGTAATACATTGATCATTCATTCATATCATTCAAAATGTCATTCATTTCTCATTCTTTTCTCCCCTTATTTGTCTTAACCAAACCAAAATTAACAGAGAGAAATAATAATGCAATATAACAAAACCATAGACATTAATACAAGCAAAACTACATTGATATATTTAAAACATAATTAGAGTACAGATTGTTCAAAGAAAGTAACATTAAAAATATTACAACCCATTAAAAAGTTCTTAAAACAAAATAACAAAAGACATAACCAAATGCAACATAAACTATGCAGTGCCTAATCGTGTGGGTGCTCATCAAGGTATGAAATGTTCATTGCGTCCAGGCGTTCAGAGATAGACTCAAAACAGGCTTTGAGTTTAGCATAGTCATGCTTTTGAGATTCCCTAATGTCATCCAGCTTAGCTAACACTGCCAGTTCAAATGTTGATATTGGTTTCTCTTCAGGTTCAGGTTCAGCTTCTACTTTAGCTTCCACCACTTCATCTTTTGCTTTCCATCTTCCTTCATGCATGGTCAGCTTCATCAATTTTAGAGCATGATCCTTGACATTGTGAGCCTCCCTAGTCACTTCCATAGCTTCATTTTCCAAGGGTACTTCATAATGAGCCAGACCTTGCTAATGAACAGAGCATATGGACACTTGTAGTCCATGAGTCTTCTGGTCTTTAGCATTGTGTCTTCCAATACATGAACATAGTCAACTTTCACTCTATTCTTAAGTGCAACCATAAGAACCATGTCATCTTCATTGATCTGAGCATGATTGCTTCCCCTTGCAACCATAATCCAAACTATACAATAATGTAACAACCTATCATCTGTGAACAGACCACCAACATTGTAAGTAACCTTCTTGTTGTTCCTTTTCCTCACAACCTTATTTGCTTCCCAAGCAGATAAATCTCTGAGAATACTTTTAAAAATACATCCTTGTCAATCTCAACACCTTTTTCTTTTAGATTGGTATAATATGGAATAATACCAGTCCTCTTTAAACCACCCACCTTTTCATATACTTCATCAGTCATGGTAATGGTTATACCATTCACCTCAAATACTAGAACTTTTTTATTGTTCTTACATAAATTACAGTAAAACACTCGAACAAGATCAAGATAGTAGAGTCCATTTAGATTAATGAACTTATCTAAACCTTGAAAAGACAATAGCCTTCCTTGGTCAGCCAAATGGAATAGAGTACCTTAGGAGGAACGATATATTTGCAAGCAAAAGATTCAGTGAAGATTTCTTCTTGAGCCTTAGTAACCAATGGTGAGAAGGTTCTTCCCTGGCTTCCTCTTGAGGAGAAGGTTCTTTTTTCTTCTACCTTGTAGAAGATTCACCTTGAGTGGGCTTAGAAGGTTTAGGGTACTCACGGTTTGCCCTACGCTTCACCCTTTTTCCTCTTCCTAGGTCTTCCATTATTGATTTTGAGGAGTACGCAAGAGAGGGGTTTAGGTTTTGCGAGAGTGTATCTAGGTTTTGAGAGAGAAAATGTGAGAGAGAGGGTTTGAATGTGAAAGGTATCACCTTTGGAGGGTTTTTGAAGTTTAAAAAAGTCATAAATGAGAAGTTTTTAAGCAATTATGACGCAGGTAATCGATTATCTCGACAAACTAAGAAGGATTTTGGTCTTTGGGTTTAGGGTTAATCGATTAATAAATGTGGTAATCGATTATCATAGTGAATGTGTAACAAAGAATATGATTTTTACCAGGGTAATCGATTCTACAGGATACATATTCTGCATCGGTTATGCGAAGTCATCTACATCGATTCTAAAACCGATGTAGAATAGAGCGACTTAGAAAA